GAGCAGGAAGAACACGCATCCTGAGATTCAATAGATCATCTAAATTGGTCCCAAACTGAATTTTAAAAATGGCTTTGCAAAGACTTTTGTTCAGAACAAATTTAGCATTACAAAACTCACAATATAAATCAAAATAAATCAGATTTCTTTGCAGATTATTTTGTACTCTAACAATGTGCAGTTTAACCACTAGAAATAAAGGTTGATTGATTAATATACATGACCCTTTCTGACTAGGCTTATTGCACTGCTTAAAAATGCCAAAATAACATTTATCATTGTTACTTAGTGCTAGCTTTTTTATTGTGAATTAAATTTCTCATATTTCAGTAAAATGTTGATTTAACTCCAAATCCACCACTTTCTGGTGTTACAGATTTTATATTTGAAATTTTGGATTTATAAATCTAAAATTTCTCCCTGCTGGAGGGAGAAGTGTTCTAGGACTACACTGCCATGTACTATAAAAGTATAATAATGCCTTCTCTGAGTGGAACTTACTGCTTAACTTAGCCTGGTGAGATCCATTTAACACAGACACTGGATGATTTCAGGGATCAGCCATAGAGAGAAAAAAGGGTCCAAATTTTTTTACCTTCATTCAAGGAGTATTGCGTGTGCCATTGGCTTTATTCTTTGTATCATGGTGTTTTAATCTGAATTCTCTAACTTCCAAGTAGTGATAATGTCAGTGTATTGGTGGACTACCTGCAGGCTCTCTCCACCCCAAAATCGCCTCTGCTTTCCAAACTGTAGACAGAGACTGTCCTCCCTCTCCAGAGGACAAAAAGCAGACCCTGAAAGTAGGCATATAATACCATTTTTGGCATCTCTTTTCCCATTCCAGGAGGGCCCCAGCTAAAAATTTGGGCCTAGTAGCCGTTCTTCTGGAAAAACAAACAGAAATACTTCAGTTAAGAGTAAATTGTTTTTATTTCTGTAACCCATGCTTGGCTTTGATGGGAGTTTGGGGTGTGCAAGGAATGTAGAATTGAATCCATAAAGCTTAGCTCTAACAGTGGTTTGGTTTTATTGATCTCCAGTGGCATTTAAAAAGGAGGAATTTCTGAAGAGGAACTTTTGAATGGATTTATGTTAGATGATCAAATTTTACGTTCAGCTAGTCTATCTTAAATTTTTGTGGCTATAGATTTTTCTGTGAGCTATTTCATGATTGAATACGTGTATTATTTTTTAAAAATTAAACTTAATCACAAGAAGACTACAGAAAAACTGTTTTAGCTATTTTGAACTAAAAATAACAGAGTAGGGAAGAAAATGCCTTTACTCTGTTCTCCTGGCCAAAACTTCCCCTCCCCATCTCTGCCGCTTGGTTTCTTCTCACTGCAGCATAGCTAGTTTCATTTCAGTGCAGCAGTATGCATATAGAGGGAGATGTTTCAAGTGATCATTCAAGGAACCAAACGTGAATTGTAACTCCCATTTCAGTAATAATGGTTACAGTTAAGTGTGTATTAAAGTGCTTTGCTTAGTTAGAGCTTTGATGAGGATTTAATTGTTTTTTGTGTGTTTCATTTTAACAATATGATTGGTAAAGGAAAAAAAGTTAAACACCTGGGCTTATCTCCCTCCCCCACCCTTTGGTTTTTGCTTCAGTGCAACAAGCCCTTTCTGTAACAGTAATGCTTAGGGTAGAGAAAAAATTGAGATGTATTTAATGGGTATACTTTCCAATTCAGTTTATTTTCTGTTATTTCTCTTTTCCAGTTCTGCTTTATTTACTACACTGTCTATGCTACTTAAGCACCATCTTTTACTGCATTTTCCAGCGGAGAGATGTTACTTTTGCTCTTTCCATTTTTGCAGAAATGGAAAACTTATACATGAATGTTACTGAATGTCAAGCTCAGCACAGCTTACACAGTGTATTTTGGATTCTTATACTCTACAGACTTCAGAGTAGCAGCCGTGTTAGTCTGTATTCGCAAAAAGAAAAGGAGTACTTGTGGCACCTTAGAGACTAACCAATTTATTTGAGCATAAGCTTTCGTGAGCTACAGCTCACTTCATCAGATGTATTCAGTGGAAAATACAGTGGGGAGATTTATATACATAGAGAACATGAAACAATGGGTGTTACCATACACACTGTAACGAGAGTGATCACTTAAGGTGAGCTATTACCAGCAGGAGAGTGGGGTGGGGGGGGGGAACTTTTGTAGTGATAATCAAGGTGGGCCATTTCCAGCAGCTGACAAGAACGTCTGAGAAACGGGTGGGGGGGGGGATTAAACAAGGGGAAATACATTTACTTTGTATAATGACCCATCCACTCCCAGTCTCTATTCAAGCCTAAGTTAATTGTGTCCAGTTTGCAAATTAATTCCAATTCAGCAGTCTCTCGTTGGAGTCTGTTTTTGAAGTTTTTTTGTTGAAGAATTGCAACTTTTAGGTCTGTAATCGAGTGACCAAAGAGATTGAAGTGTTCTCCAACTGGTTTTTGAATGTTATAATTCTTGACGTCTGATTTGTGTTCATTTATTCTTTTACACAGAGACTGTCCAGTTTGACCAATGTATGTGGCAGAGGGGCATTGCTGGCACATGATGGCATATATTACATTGGTGGATTTCCCCTTGTTTTATCCCCACCCCCCACTGTTCCTCAGTTCTTGTCAGCTGCTGGAAATGGCCCAACTTGATTATCACTACAAACGGTTTCCCCCCAGCCCCCCCGCTCTCCTGCTGGTAATAGCTCACCTTAAGTGATCACTCTCATTACAGTGTGTATAGTAACACCCATTGTTTCATGTTCTCTATGTATATAAATCTCCTCACTGTATTTTCCACTGAATGCATCCGATGAAGTGAGCTGTAGCTCACGAAAGCTTATGCTCAAATAAATTTGTTAGTCTCTAAGGTGCCACAAGTACTCCTTTTCTTTATACTCGATAGTCATTCCAAGGTTGGATCTTTTCAATCTTAAATTATTCAGTGTTGGATCATTTAATTCTTTTGTTCCATGTACAATACAGCATATTTAAATCCTATATTGTTACATTTTCCAGTATTAGTTATTATGGCCCTTATTCATTAAAGCGCTTAAGTGCTTTGCTTGGTTGGGATGGAATTTCTCACATATATTAACTTAATCACATGCTTAAGTATTTTGCTGAATCTGGGCAATTATTATTATTTTAAAGAAGCTGTGACAAACTGTTTTACTTCAAATGCCTTTGATTATCATAAATCGTAGCCCAATAAGAAAATTTCAAACACAGTAAAGCCTGATTGTTGATGGTATGGATAGTAACTATGTCAAGTTTGCATACTACATCTTAGTGCAGACTGTGCGCTCATACAAAGAATGTCCTGTGGACCTCTTCCCCTCCCATCCACAATGGTGTAGCCCAACTCCTATTCCACTTGTTAACTATGCAATATCCCTGTGGCAACTACTGTAGAGCAGTTGTTTACATAGAAATGTCACATGAGAAAAGCATTAACATATTTTAACTGTGTAGTGCCATAATAATTTAGTCCTTTTTGAAAAAGTCACACTGTCTTTTTGCTCTTCAATCATCCTCTTCCATCTTTTCTGTCCCCTCTCTCCCCCTGGCATTGGCTTGTCTGCCACCCTGGCCCTCTTTCCTCTTTACAATTGTATGTACTTCCTGTCTGCTTTGTCCCAGTCTACAGTATATGTACTGCCCAGTGCCTGGTTCTCTACTTCCTGGGACATGCTGCCTAGCCACCTGGTCATCCCCTCCCATGCTTACCCTGGTTATGGTGCCTGGTTACTTTGCTCCCTTCTCCACTGGACATTCCTTTCCTGTTGATTATTCTGAATAATGCGTGTCAGCTTCAATCCAATTTGTGCCTGTGGTCCCTGAAGATGGCTTCATTTTTCCTCTCTTATTTCTGATGTAGACAGGTGGCCTTGCTTTCCCCCTTCTTTCCAATGCTTTTACAAATATCCAGACTCCTAACTGCTATGAAAAATCTAGCTGCCTGTAGAAACAGCTGTACACAAGTAGGAACCAGTATCACATGACCTACCAATTCTTTCCAGATCACCAACAAGTGCTCTGCTGACCATATTCTGACAACTGTTTCAATATGTATTTTTATCTTACTAATACATTCCACCAACAACCTATGTTAAAAGAACAGCAAAGTTGCATGGTTGTGTATTCAAAAAGCAGAAAATGACACAGTTAAAGTTGAATATGTATTTTCCTGACTCTTGGGGTGGTTACTGGTTTAAATTTAACACTCTATTAATAATTTGGATGGAATTTCATAGTTTGTTTTTGTTTTGTTTTTTACAAAGAAATACAAAAGAAAATCCATAATATAGAACAACTTGATTAGATACACCTCACAAGGACTTGAGGAAAGGACCTTTCTCCTTCAGATATGTTCAATTTTTATCTTACAAGATTTGCAGTGAATACAGGAAGTACTCTTATACTTCATTTATTGAGAGCCTTACAAGATGATGTACCTTGAAGAAGGTAAAGGCTCCTGTTGAAACCTCATTATTCAGTGGCACCTTCACTATTTCACTCTACAGATAAAGTACTCAGGTATTGCATAGGCTGGGTACCCTCTCTAGCTGTGTACTTCATGACTTCAGCAAGAAAACTCAAAGTAAAATGCACTGCATGTTCACATACTATTTTCGATGGACTATATGTTTATCAAATCAAAATGAACTTTCCTAGATCATTCATAAGCACCTCAATTTAGTTGAGGCTGTTTTAACATCAAATTTCAACTTAGTACTCCGACCTTTACTGTTTTAGAGTTTTTAAACAAACAAAACACCACCACAACTCTAAAGGATAATGTTTTAATGAGGGATAATGTTTTAATTTCATTCTCTTAAGAAAACAAAAACAATTTTGGGCAGAGAAAATCTTAGCCCAAAAATTGAAGATTTCAGATGCAACAGAAAATGGTTAAAATGGAAAAGCTTATGTAACATTAACTATTATTCTTTCCTTAAAGTCTTTCTGTTTCATTTATTGACTACAGGTTGATGCCTTGAGATTACGACTGGAAGAAAAAGAAACATTTCTTAATAAAAAAACAAAACAACTGCAAGACCTCACAGAAGAGAAGGGAACCTTGGCTGGAGAGATTCGAGATATGAAAGACATGTTAGAAGTAAAGGAAAGAAAAATCAATGTCCTTCAGAAAAAGGTAAGACTTCTAACAAAATATGTGAGAAACCAGCAAGAATATGTATTCATTTATTACAGTGTACTGCCTTTAATGTGATATAAAATATAGGGACTAAGACTGCAATCCTTACTCATGGAACTAGTTCCTACTGACATGATTTGTCCTATTGACTTCAGTGGGACTATTTCTGTAAGGATTATTTACATAAGTGAAGGTTTTGAGATTGGGCCCACCATCTGCAATTATTACATTCAGTATAGAGAACACCATATGAAGTAATGTGAAGTTAAGGAAAAAACTCTTTAATAAATTCAGATAAAATTCTTTGACTTTCAAAAAAGCCAGATTCTTTTAGCCTTACTCACACTGAGTAGCGTCACTGAAGTGAATGGGACTGCTTAAGGAATAAGGTACTATTAAATGAAAGGGTGACAGAATGTGGCTCAAACTCGTTCACTTTTTATACTACACATTTTAAAGATTTGAAAAAAAACCTAATTAGAGAACCTAAATTCTTTGAGCTCTTATATCCTGTGGTTTGTGTATGCAAAAATCCAAGAAACCAAAGATGCTCCCCCAAAAGGGGAACAAATGCCATCATGACTCAATTTATTCCCCCTCCCACCCGCCCCCCAAATTTGTAAAAAATAGCAAATTTTCCACAGATTCCACTAACTCACTTTACTCTATTTGGGAAGTTCGCCTTACCTTAATACTGTCCACTCTAGGGAAGGAAACCTTTTTGGAATGCTACTAGCATAGCGCTGCATCTGTTCTATGTACAGTCTCTCCCTATATAAAATGAAAGAAGAAAGAGAAGAAAACACAAGGTCCACTAGTATCTGGAATCAAATATGTTTTAATGTATATTTTTAAAAATAAAAATAAATTCACTTTCAATTTGTAGCCTATCAACAGGTCCCTGCTCAATGTTTTGTGACATACATACATACATATGAATGTATGTATAGTATGTCTAAATGATACACTTCTTAAAACAGACTGTTGCTAATTATAAGAACAAAATTAAAAGCAAACCAAATATATCCTTCTCCAGGATCCCTTCGTCTTTAGAACTGAAGGGTTCATATGGGCTGCATGTGGCTCTATTGAAGGTTGGCTAGATGTAGATGCTTGAGCAATGCAAGATGTACTTGCATTCTCAGGAATTGAGAACATTGTCCCTGTAGGCCCAGGGAGTAAGGGACTGAGTTCAAGACCAGAATTTGGATCCCTGCCCTCTGTTTTTGTTTTATGAAATTCTTTAAGAAAAAAACAAGTTGAGATTCTTGGATATTCAATTCTAGTTTGTAACCTTGATGATGTTGAAGATATCAAATCTTAAACCTCTCATTGATCCTGGACTGAATATTATTTGTTCTGGGCCTCAAATGAGGATAATTTTGAAGAGGGAAAAAATGTTATGGCTTGTGATTTTAAAAAAAAAAAAGGGGGGGGCAATTATTTGAAGCCGGTCAGAGGTTTGGAATATCACTAAAATTAGTTGTGGGAGATACAGATCACTAGGCAGAGTGCAGGACAGGTGGTCAAATGGGTTTGATAAATGTAATTTGTCACAGAAGTATCATAAGCAAATTAGGGACATGTGGTCTACATGAAATTACTATAAGGTGGGTGCATAACTGGTTGGTTGAAAAACTCTAGTTATCAATGATTCGCTTTCAAACTGGGAGGGCATATCTAGTAGGGTCCTGCAGGGTCCATCCTGTGTCTAATACTAGTCAATATTTTAATTAAGGACTTGGCTAATAGAATGGAGAATGTGCTTAAAAATGTGTGGGTGACACTAGACTGGGGTGGAGTTGCTATAGTTTTGGAGGACAGAATTATAATCCAAAAGGACCTTGACAAATTGGAGAATGAACTATCAGAAATCAACAAGATGAAACTCAGTAAGGACAATTGCAAAGTACTACACTTAGGTACTGAAGACAGGACAAGAAGTAATGGGTTTAATCTGCAGCAAGGGAGGTTTAGGTTATATATTAGTGTAACCTTTCTGACTGTAAGGGTAGTTAAGCTCTGAGCAGGCTTCCAAGGGAGGTTGCAGAATCTCTGTCACTGGAGGTTTTTAAGAACAGGTCAGGCATACACCTGTCAGGGATGGTCTAGGTATACTTGATCCTGCCTTAGCGCATAGGACTAGATTAGATGATCTCTTGAGTTTCCCTCCAGCCTAACATTTCTATGATTCTGATACATAGTGAATGTATGCTTTTGAATATACACTTTATTGCATTATTTTTGTTTTTATGGTTTAAGATTATTCCATTGGTGTATGAAAAGATACAGTAAATTCTCTACCTACCATACATTTTGTAAAAAACCCTGGGTTACCTAATAATCTTGCCCAAAAGATCTTCATTCCATTTAATCCCAAAGTTGTACACTTTCATATCCAATTAACTAAAATGCATGTCTGTTCTTTTATATCCATACATATATAAATAGACTTGTAGCCTTTCAAAATATCTGACTTTTTACTGAAAATAACAATTCTAGAGTTGCACTACCCCTCCCAACTGAATCCCAGAGTGAACTCCTGTTACAGTCTACTCAGTGCTTCCCTGGAGTGTGCATGGTATACAGTGCCAGAAATAAATCCTCGTAAGAACTAATTGCAAAATGAGTCTGTACCGAATTGGTTCTCTAACGTTGGAATTAGTGCCTGACTTTATTTTACTTGAATAATGTACTGCATCAGGATATGTCTGATGTCCATGTTGTGCGCTAAGGACCAAATTCTTGTTTTACTTCCAGACGAAATGATCAATGGGATTACATGCATGGGGATTTGGCACTAAATCATTCTTTGGGATCATAGAGTTAAATGTATGTGTAGATGTAGACTATATGGGGTATGTCTAATGAGCCCATTGCCATAACATCTAGGTGCTGATTTACCCTGGCATGCCCAGACATAATTATTGTGTAAATATCATAATTTTATTTGTATGGTACGGATATAATGCATGGAAAATTCTTTTAGACTTACCTTTGGGTCACATTTACAACTTTAGTATGAGGCCTTCAGTAGTGTACGAATATGTTTAAGGTTACATTCATTCACAGATGATTTATCTGAAGAAAGTTTAAACTGAAACATTATCGCCCTTTCTCCCCAATTGTTTAAATAAATTCACATCATGACACTATAAAGGAATTTTTTTCTGTTTATTTTCCTTCTGTCTGGTGTACAATCCCAAAGTAGAAATTCTGTAGGTTTCCATCAAAAATACAGACTTTTCTACACAAAGCTAAAAAGTTAATCTCTTTATTGAGCCCCCCTATATTGAGACTGATTATGCAGAATGTGTTCCTTTAAAAAAAAAAAGCCACTCCCCATTTTTATCCCGTGTGTCCCAAAGGGATGTCTCACCCCTTCTCCAGGACCCAGTAAATTATTTTATCCTTTATCCACTAGAGATGCAGAGGACATTTGTTATCTTCATGCCTTATAGACTTTTATATTCTGTGTCTTAATTTTAGAAAGTTTGGCTCAGTTTGACCATATGCTGTTTTTTCAATGTTTGTTTTTGTTTGTTTCATGTCTTATTTTTTGTTAATACTACAGTATTCTATAGTAGTAGCCCCGAATACTACAGTAATATTTTTGGACAATTTCTGGACAACTTCCCTCAGATTCATGACCACATAACATCACTTTGGCCTCTACAGCAATTGCTTACAAGGAAAAATTATATTTGTAAAATAATAAATTTGTATTTAGCTGTGTTTAATGCAGTAAGTTTGTCCTTTTTGAGAAGTTAATTACACTTCATTTTGTCTTCCCCCTTACACCGGTTCTGTTCCTCCTCCTCTTCTTCTTCTTTTTATTTTTTTTTAAATCTAGCCTCCCTATTCTATTTGTGCTTTGCTGCTGCTGGGTTCCTTTCTCCTTTTCTCCCCTAGTATATACATCCCTGCCATCCTTCTCTCATGCTCCACTGGTGTCCAGTCACTGCTCCACTTTTCTTTTTGGTCCCTTGGATTTTCTCTCCCTGTGGGGCCTTTACTTCAGTTGGTGGCAGCCAGACATTTTGGTGCTTAACATTTGAGATTCACCAATCTCTAGCAAGAACTTTGTATATTCCAAATATATTATGTGAAATGGAATATGAACTCTTTCAGATGGAACATAAGAGCCTCCGCAGAAACAGATTATTGGTCCTTCTAGTGAAATATCACGTCTCTTGCAGTGAACAAGTTGGCGTAGGTGCTGGAACTAGGGGACCTGGGGATGTGGCAGCACCCCCGGCTTGAAGTAGTTTCCATCACATACAGGGTTTACAGTTTTGTTCAATGGCTTTCAGCACCCCCTCTATAATAATTGTTCCAGCACCACTGCTGGGTTGCAGATAAATGCATGCTTGCCAAGTTAGTCTCTTGAAAACATTGAATATGATGGAACTGCAATTTTTAAAATGTTCAAACTAGTCCTTAGTCTCTTCTGAAAGTATTACAAGCCTAATTAGGAAGGCCTTCGTTTTCTTCTATGCAAGGCCAGATTTTGATGTTTTTTTCCCTGCTGAATAACACTTAGCTCTGCGAGTAGTCTTTTTTTTTTCCCCCCCGTGGGACTACTTTGATTAAGGTCCTACTCAACATAAGGCAGAGTATCAGAATCTGGCCCTAACTTATTTTTTTATATTGCTAGTGTGGAAGCATAAAAATGATTCTATTGAGTACTTATTAATAAAGATGGGAAAGAAAGAAAAGCATTGGAAATATTTTGATAGCCAGGAGTCTTTCTTATGCATATGAAAAACCACTAAAATATCCTCACAGAATTGATGAGGTGAGTTCTACAGGTAGGCATCTGAGCACATGTAGCCAAAATATAGTAGAGAAAAGTAGTGGGCTAGATGCTGAGTGATTAATGCACTTTTCTTTTACTCAGTAATTTCAGTGTAGTTGTGGATGATATCCAAATAACATCACAGAAGAGGTCTTGAAATGGCTTATGGACCTACAACTATATCCATAGAATTTTGCTC